AGTTTAGGCTCACCCGATTTTTTATTTAAAACCTTTAAAAAATTTTTGGTCGAAAATTCCATTTGAACAAAAAATTGTACACGACGTGGTCTGCAAGTTTAAATTTTCTTTTTTTCATAAAGTCAAAACCATCCTAAAACTGTAACACAATATCTGTGTTTATATATTCGTAGGTGAAATTTTTCTATAAGTAGAACTAAGACCAAGAAAAAATTAAATGCAAACAAAAATTATGAATATGATCACCTCACTGTTTACTGTTTACTGTTTCCTTGGAGTATTGTAACCACTTCTGTGCTTGTTGACTCCCTCGATCTCATGTTTACATTTGGTGTTCCGCTTCCGGTTGAAAAAATCACGCGGAAAAGTACGCGTCTAGGAATATATATCTTCCAGGTCAAACCTTTGATTCTGCCATGCTTTATCCAATTTACATTTGAATGAGTAAACACTATTGCTACAAACTATCGTTTCGTCCAGGTCATTCCATTTGTCGATTGCACGAGCAGGAAAAGCATTTAAGCGTATAGATTTTACACAACGGGGTTTGATGAGGCGATATATGTGCCCCCGAGTGGGATTGTCATTAAACGAGAGTAACTTTTCACAGTCAAAATCTTCTAGACCATTAATTAGTTTATACAACTCAATCATATCATACCGTTTTCTCCTATACAGCATCGTTGGGAGATTAAGTTCTTTCAGTCTTTCAGAATAAGAAAGTCCTTTTAACTCTGGAACTATACGAGTTGCACGTCTCTGAATATTCTCAATGAGTTGGCTATTTTTCTTCGTACTTGGGAACCAAACAATGCACCCGTAGTCAATGATGGATCGTACCAAACTTTTGTACAGTGTTATAAAAAGTTTCTTATTCATAAATTGAAAAGATCTCTTAATTAAACCAATGAGTCTGTTACATCTATTTACCACACTTGCAACATGTTTATTAAACTTTAACGAACTTTCAAAAGTGATTCCGAGGTCTTTTTCTTCTGTGCATATTGGAATTTCAATAGTTTGTTTTTTACTGTCTCTCATGTGATATACATATTTATGTTTAACATTACCATACTGTATAAACTTACATTTTGGCACGGAAAATTGTAACAGCCACTTGTCACTCCAGTCACATAATTTCATCAAGTCTTTTTGAATTACTTGTTGGTCATTTGGCGAACTAATTGGTAAGTAAATCTTACTGTCGTCAGCAAAAAGTTTACAATATGATTCAAGGCTGTCAGGCATATCATTCATGTATAAGATGAACAGTACAGGTCCAAGTACAGAGCCCTGGGGGATTCCTGATGACACAGGTTGCCAATCCGAGAAGTTGCCATTAATTACAACACGTTGTTTACGACCGGACAGAAATTTTTCGACCCACCTCAGAATTTCATCGTTAAAGCCATATGATTTCATTTTCAAAATAAGTCGTCTGTGTGGAACAGAGTCGAAAGCCTTTTTAATATCAAGGTACACAACATCAGTCTGTAAAATAGATGAATACAGAATCCCTAAAGAAAGCCCAACACGGCAAAATTGAAAATGTTGCAGGCTCGGTTTGATTGAGCCTGTTCATGGACGGTACTGGAAAGTGCAAGTTACCGTCCACGCCCCCTAGCACCGGCTTAAGCAGAATTCAACATTTAAACGTGAAATAGTAAAATTTTGAATTTAGAAACATCCGCAGATGTGTTCATACGGCGGTTATCATGGAACCTTCAATGTGACACTTCCGTGCCATTCCATGAAAAGCGGCGTATGGTCCCCAAGTAATAAAAAGCGTGTGCCCTAAACGAGAAAACAATGGGCGGAACTAAATAAAATGGAATTTTGAAAGGGGATCGGAGGTTATGAAGCCTGCGTATCACAGATAAGACGTCAAAAGACAAATTTAAAAAGCAGGCAACATATCCTAAGGGTGATTCAACATTATTCAAGTAGGAATATTGGAACCACCCAACTAGAAAAGGCCGAAAACTTGAAACTAAAAATACCACAAGCACAACAATAATGTCGTGCTGAACGATCTTCAAGGATCGAAAATATAACATCATTGATTAAATGTACGGGGAGACTTTTTACAGCCGCCACACGGCACAAATAACACGGATGTGATCATAAAATAGATGAATACAGAATCCCTAAAGAAAGCCCAACACGGCAAAATTGAAAATGTTGCAGGCTCGGTTTGATTGAGCCTGTTCATGGACGGTACTGGAAAGTGCAAGTTACCGTCCACGCCCCCTAGCACCGGCTTAAGCAGAATTCAACATTTAAACGTGAAATAGTAAAATTTTGAATTTAGAAACATCCGCAGATGTGTTCATACGGCGGTTATCATGGAACCTTCAATGTGACACTTCCGTGCCATTCCATGAAAAGCGGCGTATGGTCCCCAAGTAATAAAAAGCGTGTGCCCTAAACGAGAAAACAATGGGCGGAACTAAATAAAATGGAATTTTGAAAGGGGATCGGAGGTTATGAAGCCTGCGTATCACAGATAAGACGTCAAAAGACAAATTTAAAAAGCAGGCAACATATCCTAAGGGTGATTCAACATTATTCAAGTAGGAATATTGGAACCACCCAACTAGAAAAGGCCGAAAACTTGAAACTAAAAATACCACAAGCACAACAATAATGTCGTGCTGAACGATCTTCAAGGATCGAAAATATAACATCATTGATTAAATGTACGGGGAGACTTTTTACAGCCGCCACACGGCACAAATAACACGGATGTGATCATAAAATAGATGAATACAGAATCCCTAAAGAAAGCCCAACACGGCAAAATTGAAAATGTTGCAGGCTCGGTTTGATTGAGCCTGTTCATGGACGGTACTGGAAAGTGCAAGTTACCGTCCACGCCCCCTAGCACCGGCTTAAGCAGAATTCAACATTTAAACGTGAAATAGTAAAATTTTGAATTTAGAAACATCCGCAGATGTGTTCATACGGCGGTTATCATGGAACCTTCAATGTGACACTTCCGTGCCATTCCATGAAAAGCGGCGTATGGTCCCCAAGTAATAAAAAGCGTGTGCCCTAAACGAGAAAACAATGGGCGGAACTAAATAAAATGGAATTTTGAAAGGGGATCGGAGGTTATGAAGCCTGCGTATCACAGATAAGACGTCAAAAGACAAATTTAAAAAGCAGGCAACATATCCTAAGGGTGATTCAACATTATTCAAGTAGGAATATTGGAACCACCCAACTAGAAAAGGCCGAAAACTTGAAACTAAAAATACCACAAGCACAACAATAATGTCGTGCTGAACGATCTTCAAGGATCGAAAATATAACATCATTGAACTTGCATCAAAGTTTTTTACGAAATCATCAAGTACATCCAATAATTGCAGAATACAACTACGTTTTTCCCGAAATCCAAACTGACAATTTGAAAATAACTTGTTTGCGTTCATATGTTGCATAATAACATTCCTAACAGATTTTTCGCACAATTTACTTGGAACACAAGTAAGGGATACAGGTCTATAATTGGAAGGATCACATGTCAGTCACGGTCGCTTTTGGCTTTAATTACCCTTTTTAGAACTTTTCATCGCTTTGAATCACTACCGGAGTTTATCCTTGATTGAATTAAATCACAGTTTCTTTCCACTTTTCGCTTTTTCCTTTTCCAATCTCAAAATTTCTTTCTCGTATACGTGACACACCTTTCGTATTGTCCGCCATTATTTTGATAAATATTCATATCACGTGACTCAGATCCGAACATTTACGGAAATAATCGAAGGCCTTCCCGCCAAAATATAAATCTTATTTGACTAACCCAGTCAAATAAGAAAATGCATTTTTTAAAATGGTCAGAAATGTTACGGAGGGCGTTTCTAAGTTGGAAAACTTTGTCAATACTAGTTAAATAATGCATTTGATAACAATAAGGCGTTAATTTGACAATCTGTTTTGATGAATTTGACCAGGAATATAACTTTAACAAAGTCCACCATTGAATTTTACCATGATATTGAATTATAAACGAAACTTAAAGACCGGTGTAAAACAAAGTTTGACCCCGTAATAATTCATCAATTTTCAATCGTTGAGCTGTAAGGGGAGCTGAGGCGGTCCCTTTAACCCAATACACTATATGAAATACAAGCCTCTGACCGATAAAAGAAGTTAGAAAACGGACTCTAAACTCACAAGAACGCCCCGTTCTACATCTTGGATGTGGCAATTGATTCAAACCAAGTTTATGACTCAGACCAAGGCTCTGATTGTTAATGATTCTTCAGTGTCTCTCTTCCGAAAGCAGACCATTTCCAATAGAAAACCTAAAAATTTACATACCCGTAAAATGACTGCATTATAATTATAATTCAACGACTCATCAGATTTCAACGAATTTTTTAATCAAGATTTAAAGTTGCAACAGTGGCAGAGTCACTTTTTAAGTTGTAAAAAGACTTGGATTTTTTTTTCAACGGGGTCAAAATTTAATGTTACACCGGTATTCGTAAATAAATATTTTACCATGTACTGCTTGCTATGAAGTTTAAAGAACTAGAGGGACGAATGTAAACACCGGTTAGAGTTAAACTTAATAATAGATATATTTGAGGTAAGGATATGTTGAAAATACTATATTTATTCAATGTCGTACCTGAACTTTATATCACCCAACTTCTAAATTAAACAAGCACTATTCTTAACGTCCATGTGTTGAATATAGCATTTTCATAAAACTACCGAATCTTAATCTAAGCAATCATTAATATGAAAATAGAATGGATTTAAAGTTATCATTCCATATTTTTTGTTTAACGCTCGTTGTTTATGTGTATGGGCAGGAAGTAACGGTATTTACAACGGCTGGTGAATTTATAGGGACAACCGAGGAAACGACATTCAGCGGGGTACAATATAAAATAAAACAATTCTTAGGAATTCCATATGCTAAACCACCAATTGGTGACTTAAGATTCAGACAGCCAGAACCTTTACCAAAGCTACAAACACCATTCCGTGCTACTAGATACGGATTTATCTGCCCGCAGATTATTCTCCCGAGTGAACCATTAGTAGGGACACAAGATGAAGATTGTCTGCATCTTAATATCTTTGTTCCAACACAAACGCCTGATGATACAAATGGACATGCTGTTATGGTATGGATTCACGGAGGAAGGTTCATTTTAGGTTCATCCGATGAGTATGACAGCAAAATATTGTCAGGTTTCGGAAATGTCCTTGTAGTGACAATTAACTACAGACTCGGTCCACTTGGATTCTTCAGTACAATGAACTCGAACTGTCCTGGTAACTTCGGGTTATGGGATCAGATGTTGGCTTTAGCTGGATACGAGATAATTTTTTCGCCTTTGGTGGTGATGTTAACCGCATTACTGTTTTTGGTGAATCCGCTGGAGCGATAAGTGGCGAAATGCAAGGTATGAAACGAGAAAATATTGGTGTGTTCCACAGAATCATTGCTTCAAGCGGATCACCCTCTGTAAGGTCTATGAATTGTTCTAGAAATATACTGACTGGCGCCAGAGTTATGGCGGGAAAAGTTGGATGTGATTTGAAAAGCACTGCAGAGATGATTGAATGTCTCCGTAACATCACCTGACAGGATTACATCGGAGCAATAAATGCATTAAGCCAAGATTCAAATAGTATAGAATATTTGATATTTGACCCACTCGTTGATGGAGACTTTATAAAAGATGAGCCTAGAGATTTGTATGAAAGAGCAAAAACACAGACCATTGAAGAGCTTGAAGTTTTCAAATCCTTTGATTTGTTATCAGGAATGAACGCCATCGAAGGTGGATATTACTTGATGTATTTTGTAGAAGACGCAGATAAGTTTATGCCAACCAGAGACGAGATGGAAATGTGTATATACCAGCAGCAATGAACTTGGTTTACAATAGAACATTCCCTGAAACTATAATGCAAGTTATTGAAAATGAATACACAAACTGGTCTAGTCCATATGACTATCGTAATATCAGACGACAATTTGCTAAAATATTTGGAGATACAGGATTTGCAGTAACTAGTATCGAATTCTCACGGCTTCATGCTACATCACCACCGACATCTAAAACATATGTTTACAAATTTATGCCTAAACCATCAAAGCGAAGCGGTGGTTCTCCTGAGTGGATGGATGAAGCGAACCACGATGACGATATTCGTTTTGAATTTGGATTTATTGATCAACCAAATGCAGAGGATTGGGAAATTGAATTGTCGAAACACGTGATGCGGTATTGGACTAATTTTGCTAAAACAGGGTACGTCAAAATTCATCTTTTTTATATGTTATAATTTTTTTATATCTTTTTCATGTTAACGTTTACAAGTTGTTAATTTGGAATTATTGTTTCGTGATGTTATTTAATATTAACTGAATCATTTCAGATTGGTTTGATTACATTTGTTTTCCAATTTTATACCCCGTCGCTAACACATAAATGAAAATTGAAATAACAACTTTGAATATGACCATGTGGTTACCCTTCTAATCAGCAATATAATTATATATAATCAATCGCGCTGTATTAGTGTAATTTCTGACCAGTCCCAATGCTATGAGTATAAAAAACAGATATGTCTTACAAAAAGCCATAATTGAACAAAAAATTAAACTACAGTTTTATTCTCTTAAACTATTATTATGTGAAAGTAGACAAAGTTATGAAAAGAATTACTTAAATAATATATTATTTTACAGAGATCCAAATAGCCCAAATCATCCTGGACCTGTATGGCGCGAATACGACTTAATAAACCAGCATTACATGGAGCTAGATAGAGATTTGGGTGATACTGGCGGGAAGCAGTTCGCATTCGCAAAAGAGCTCAACTTCTGGTTGGAAGTGTTCCCAGACCTTGTGCACGCCACGGATAATCAGGGCATGAAAACATGTGGAACAATGATCAGTCTTGGAAATATACTTTTCAGCAGCACCACACCATTTTTCATGTTGTTTTTAAAAGCTCTCTTTATTTAAATCTTTGGAAGTAAGTCCATTCTTTTTTATAAGAACGACTGATGCCTTATTTTTTCATTTTCTCAAGAATATAACTTTTAGTTAAATTTAATCATATCTTATTGCTAAGAAAAATATGTAAATATACACAAAAACAACAAGCTTTCGAATTAAAAGATTGGACCCATTTTCGAGCAGCCCTACCCCATACAGTAGTGAACAGCTGAGTTTATTCCTTATTTTCACTAATAAAAAGAAAATGAATCCACCAACTTTGATCAAGCAACTCTTATAAGGGTGCAATAAATTGCAGGTTCGGGGGAACCAATTATGCTAGCATACGTCGTTATCCAAATCTACATAAACTAATTAACTATCTTTACTTATCATTCCTTATATCAAAATTAAAATATTTAAAAAAAAATGAATAATAAGTTCGGCCGTCTGTTCTCAAGTAATTTATCATTGCTTCATCGAACCTACATTTATTCAATATGTTTTCAAAAGTAAACAATCTTAAATTATATCAAATTCTATATCTTAAACTGAAGTGAACCATGCCATATAACCACTGCACCTAGGTTTCGACCTTTGCACGTGTGTGCCAAAATCTGACCTTTATTTGTTTAAACTATCCGTACGTGTATTTCCCCTCGGTAGATTTAAGCGCGCTGCAGTGTACTTTTTCAAGTATACTTGTAAATAACAGCAAGTAAAGAAATCCAAAATTAATGTTTACCTTGAAATAGCTCATAAGTTCTGTTTAAATTTTTGCATTCCGTTTTTTTGTTTCTGTTGTTTTGAAGTTGTTGATTCTTTTTGCAATTTAAGCATTATTTAAGGAAACAAAAAAACTTAATAATCAACCAATGTGTTTCCCAATAAGATTTGATGTTTAAGTGAGTGTATTTCATCTATAGATAAAAATAAAGAAGTATACGTGTATGTTAATATAATATAATTATTTAGATTAGCGTATAGTAGATCAGAAAAGGATTATTATAATCAAACACCCATACCAAACAGCAAGAGTAATAGTTATGTTTATTTGCATACATTTACATGTGTACACATGATTAAAACACACCATTTCGATGAGGTGAGCTATCCATACAAACAACGTTTCGATAAAGTGAGCTATAAATACATACTGTAACAATGTAGTGAGTTATTAATACAAACACCGTTTCGATAAAGTGAGCTATCAATAAAAACACTGTTTCGATGAAGTGAGCTATCAATACAAACATCGTTACAAAGAACAATCAGTGAGCAATCAATACAACACCGTTACAGTAAAGTGAGCTATTAGGTGATTTATATATTAGATAAGCTTAAATATGCCATTTCAGTAGTTCTTTTCCGACGATAATGTCTCTCCTGGTACTTGTAAGATCTCATTTATTTCCAGACGTAATTTCTAGACATAATTGCTAGCAATGGGAATCTGATAAATCTTGATCAACACCTGAAATTGGTTTCCGCTCTCGGGCAATATAACGTCAATAAATCCAAATTGCTTTGCTGGCTTTTGACAAAGTGTGGAAATGTCTCAATCTTGTATGCAATCTTTTCAAGCAATCCTAATAGCCTTAAAAGGTCAAACATTTACCACACACGAATATATTATTTATATCGGCTCTTAGTGATTTAATGACCATAAGAAAAGATTCTTGTTTACTTTGAATAAGTATTTAGAATTCTAAATGATTTTACATAGATGTGAACATAACAAAATAGTTCGGTGAATACTTAACGGGAGAAAATATTTTTAAACAAGCTAATACGAAATGCAATCAACTTGACAGTCACTGGTGACTACGGGAAAAGTTTATACAACTTTGTTAATATAGCTTTCTTCCATAACGAGAATTTTGCAGGATGAAAGTCTGCCCTTTTTGAAGGGTTTGGCTTTGTCATCACAGTATAGGTCATATGGCGATTTCCACCTTCACTGGTGGAGGAAAACGACAGGTGCTTTTCCGTGAATTATTTCAGGTACAAACAGGCACCCGAAAAGATCTCCGACATTCCGTAAAAATCTGCTGTTAAGATTATCTACTGTTCAAGAATATATGCATTCCTATAATTTAAAAAATGAAATAGTACAAAAACAAAGGCGATGAACATTAAAGGGTTGTGAGTCAGCCAGAGGTCAAAAATACCAGACAACCTGCGAATTATAATCAAAGTGCTGAAAGCACTGATGGGGGCGCAATATGTTGCATACAAAAATTCGAGATTTGTATAGCAATCTACTTTAGGTGTTCCAATCTGATATCATTTTTCTTTCAAAGTTGAATAAGTGCCCATTTTGTACACAATATAATAGTATCGCCTCCAAACTCTTGTCAAAATTGAAAATTATGTACCAAGAACATACTAACAAACCCAGGCAAAATGCATAATTGATATCATATATATATATCATGAATAAACATTTTAAATTATGACATTGGATTTTGTTGGGAAACTATAGTTGTTTAACCAAATTTTCATGTAAAGTACTTCCTTATGTGAGTGTATAACTCATAAATCAGTGTACTTACTATATCTATTCCAAGAAATGATTATGCAGATAGAAAATAAACAAATTTAAACTGTCTATAAAATATTTCTAAAATAAAACCAGGACTGTAAGAACAAACTTATTTTTTGTAGAAACCTTTCAAGCACAATAGATAATACATGTGAGAATGTAAATTGGAATGGATACATATAATCAAGTTGGCATTGAAAACAAGAGCCACTATCTAGCTTGGGCCATGCTCGGCTTTTTCTTATATTGGAAGTCAAACACATCAGTAGGAGAATATTGTAATATCTATTAGAGTACTCCTAGAAAACATAATATAAATATATAAAGTAAATTTCAAATTTAAATAGTAAAGGTCATAGTTGAATGATAATTGTTCTTTTGTCCAAGAATGAATCAAATCATAGACGAAAACAAAGTTATGACAATGTGATCGAATTTCAATTGTTTAACTTTGGAGGTAATGGTCATTTAAATGTCAAAGTTATATCAGAAAAATTCAACATGTTGGTTTTGTGTTTGTTTGTCCAAGCATGAATCAAATCTGTAAATAATAACAAAGTAATGACAATTCCAGCTAACTCCAGACATTTTATATCAAATAAAGGTCAAGGTCATATATGAACTTGAAGGGCTTTTGTCACAATAGATAGATAGATAGATTTATTTCGGCATAAAGGTTAACATGTTACATGATAAACAAACACAATATAGATTAAAACAATTACAAATAAATAAATAAATAAATGAATAAATACTATATTATGTAAACCATGACATGTTCCCAAAACCAAGGATAACACAAAAAAGAGCAAGCTCTTATTTCCATTGTGGTCCTTAGCATTTGGTGGCATGACATAGAGAGGTATTTCATAAAAGAAAAAAAATATCACAA